CGGCCATGGTGAGACATCCGAAGGGAAGAGACAGACGTGAATGCCGTTCAGGACCCTGGTAGATTTGCTAGGGAAAATCCAACGTAGATGCTGGGCCGCTCCGTTGACGATGTCCTTTACTGTTTGCCTACCCATCCCCAGGTTGTACAGGGTCTGGGAGATGATATGGGCCGCTAGCTTGAAGTCGTCCGGCTCCATGACTTCCTCGTCAGTGCAGATGTGCACTGTTTCCAGGATCATCTGCAAGGTAAGGGAGCTGCGTTCTGCCTCATAGTGCTTCAGATGAGGAGGAGTTTCGGAGGGTGATGCAAGGGATGCCATCTCGGCCTCAGCCAGCAGTGGAAGATTCGGCTGAGCTGATTGAGAAAGAATTCGAATCCAGTTGTAACTTCGAGCTGCCAGTCTGAGGGTGGGTGCCAACGCACAGGTTTCCCGACGAGCAAGAGCTCTGGCTTCATCCGAAATGTAGAGGTTGGCATCAGGATCTGAAGTGCGCCTGCCTGTGTGTAGCATTGCCTTGCAGAAAAGATTCAGTGCGACGAGCTTTGACTTCATCGGCATAGTCGACGAGTCTGGCTGTAGTGGCAGCATTGGCAGCGCAGGGCATGTATGCATCATTGTGCGGGCCTTAAGGAATGGGCAGCAGGAGGAGACCTCTCTATTCTGCCTTTGAGCCTAAATGAAACTACACGTTCAGCGTCCGGTACTTGTTTGCTTGCAGCGATTAAGGAGTGCAACAGCAGCATGTGCTGCAGGGCGTAATTCTGAGAGAATAAGGGACAGGCGTTGTTGTTGGCCGACCAACCCACCTTGGCTTCCAGGAGTGCAGAGCATGAGGCATTGTTTAGTTGTGCGCTTTAAGGCGTAGTCAAAGCGTCAGTATTAGAGAGAATTTTGTCACTGAGGCAGTTCTGAGGTGAACAGGTGACAATCAGTCGTGTATACACTCCCTCGTAGGAGGAGACCTCACTCTCTGGGGAGTGCCAAAATTGAGGACTCTATACAGTGTCTCATGCCTGTGGATCGCGTCGTGGGACAAGAGGACCTTCAGTGATTATCCAGGTCTGGACTGTGCCTGGTGGCAGTGGGTTGCCGGTGGCCGACAGTGCCGAGGCGCGCGCTGGAGGGGTCCACGGGCTAAACGGGTTGGGGGCCAAGGAGACAATCGGCCCTGGAGTGACAATCCATGTGCCCACCAGCATGGCGGCATCGTGCGCTGGCTGAGTTTGAGCTGTGGTGGGGGGAGACATCGAGGCCCCCGACGTTGAAGTGCCACTTGTTGAGGAGGGGCGGGCCGAAGCCCTGGGAGCCCGTGATGCCTCCGTG